GAGAGAGAGAGAGAATAAAAAAGCTCATATGATTACCTGATTCTGCTTGTTTTCATGTAGAGAAATGAATTATTTGGTGATGGCATAGATGGCATAGATGATCCCGGGGATGTAGCCGAGGATCGTCAGCAACAGGCACAGCCAAAACTCCACCTGCCACCGTCAAGAAGGCCAAACAAAAACAATTCTTTCTCACTTATGTTCGTAGAAAGGCCAATACGGTAAGCGAGAGAGAGAGTGATACCGCTGAAGAGATGGTGAGAGACAAAGATGAGTATACCTTGCAGCCAAACTTGAGGAAGACTCCAAGAGGAGGAAGGATGATGGCCACCAGTATATCTATGCAAGTGGCTGTCCCCATGTTAGACCTCTCGAGCTAACCTTCTCCTCTTCTTTTTCTGAAGAAAGAGAGATGATGGAGAGAGCTCAACAAGGAGCTATGGATTATATAGAGTCCAATACAGGTAAGAACCGGAAGCTTCAGCACTTAGTTTATATACAGCTAGCCTCGTGCTCAACGTGTGCGCAGTGCTGGCTGGCGATGAGTCGCGTGCAGAGTATCAAAGTGGATCGATCCCACGTATCATCATGTCATGAGAGAGCGGGAGAAGGTGAGGAAGGTTTGGGTAGGCGACTCACCCTCATCCCTTTCCTCGCCGGACCTCCTTGCCGTAAGCCTTTGACTCGAACGCTTCGTCTTATCCGCCACCACGATACCTCCACGTCGGATGGTTCGGTCCCCGTTAGAGTTCCACACGTCTTCCTCCTCCAACCTGAGAAGTTGCGTTCAAACTCTTGAATTGTTTGATTGGATACGGTCTCATGCGCCATTCAACTCGATTTGAAATGTAAACATTAACGATCATAAGGATCGTTGGACATCAAATCTGATATATGTTAGGAGACTGAGACTCATCTGAATCTTTGTCTTTGTCTTCCCTTCTTTCTCTTTAGATATTTTTACTACCCAAAGCATTTCAATTTAGATACTGAGATCTTCTAATAATATTAAAACTATCGGTTGTCGGACAAGAGTTGTTTATTTTGACCAAACCCTAAGTAATGAGATTATCATGTCGTTCATCTCTATGTTTATTGCACGAATGAATATTTTTCTAACGGAATGGTAGATATAGGGAAACTTAATCCAACATCAATCAATATCAATCACAAGAGAAAAGGATGTGTTAGTTTGGCAAGTCCCTATAGTATCACATCAGAAAAATCAAGCTTGTTATCTCCTATTGCAACTATAAATAAGGGTTTGAGCTTTGAAACCAGGAGTATCACAAGAAAAACTTAATTGTTTGCTTTGGATTTAATTTATATTAAGTCTACACTTAGTTAAAATAGTTTGGGCTTTTCTTGTTTAGTAATTTCAGGTGTTTGATGGCTTATGGATATTTTCCTAAGGTATTTGTAATTGTCCCTTTTATAGTAGAATTTTGCTCCTCCTTCGTCCGTAGACGTAGGTCAATTGACCGAACTACGTAAATTTGATATTCTTGTCTCTTTTATTTTTCTGCTTTATTATCTTTATTAGGTTGCTAAATTACCCTTTGGTAAATTTTCTAGGGCCAACTCTAACAAACTGGTATCAGCTCAAGATGGAGGCCATTCTGGTTCAAGACAGAGTTGATTTGGCACTACAATAGAGTTGATTTGACACTAGAAGGAGCTAGAACATTACAGATGATACGTCAAAGGAAGATCTTATGGGTATGGATAAGAAGGCTCGATCAAGCATTATTCTAAATCTCTCTAACGAGGTTTTATGGGATGTAGCTACGGAGACTACGGTTAAGAGCATATGGGGACAAGCTTAAAACCTTATATATGAAGAGGACAGTGGAGAATCGTCTCTACTTGAAGCAGAGTTTGTATATGCTTCGGATGATTGAAGGTACATCTATACTCTCACATCTTGATAAATTTGATTCCTTAGTTATGGATTTGGAGAATATAGATGCGAAAATTGATGACGAAGATAAAACCCTGTTACTTTTGTATTCTCTTCCCCAATCCTTTAAGTATTTTCATGATATTATAATTTATAGAAAAGAAATAATTTCATATCAGGAAATTAAATCTGTACTAAAAATCTAAGGAGCAGATAGACAGGGATATCACTGGGGATAGTAGAGGGAATCAAGCCGAGGGTCTGGTTGTTAGGGGTAGAACGGATGAAAGAAAATTTGACAGTAGTAGATCTAAATCTAGATCTAAATCCAGACATAGAAATTTGGAGTGCAGATATTGTCATAAAATGGAGCACATTAAAGTTGATTGCTTTAAATTAAAAAATAAATTAAAGTAAAAGGAAAAAAATATTGAGAAAACTACTGAGTCCGCTGAAGCTAGTGTAGCAGCTGATGAGAATGTTGGAAATATTTTCTTTGCTACTAATAATAGGACGAGATCTAAAAATGAATAGATTTTAGATTCGGGTTGTTCTTATCACATGTGTCCTAATAGAGATTTATTTTCCACATATGAATCTTATAATGGTGGAATTATTTTGATGGACAATAATGTCGTGTGTGATGTTGTTGGTAGAGGCACAATCCGAATTAAAATGCATGATGTTATTGTGAGAATGCTCACTAATGTTAGACATATTCCTGATTTAAAAAAGAATATCATCTCTTTAGACACCCTAGAAGCTCTTGGGTGTAAATACACAACTGAATATGGAGTTATGAAAGTTTCTAGAAGTGCCCTTGTTGTTATGAAAGCTTGTAGGTCTGGTAGCTTATATATTTTGTAAGGAACTACTATCACAGGCTCGGATGCAGTCTCATCATCATCATTGTTTGATTCTGACATCACCAAATTATGACATATGCGTTTGGGTCATATGAGCGAAAAATGTTTGAGCATATTGAGCAAAAGGGGTCTTCTTTGCGGACAGAGTACTAGGCCACTGGATTTCTGTGAACACTATATTTTTGGAAAGCAGAAAAGAGTCAGCTTCAATTCTCCGACAGTCCACAAAACGAAAGATACTCTTGACTA